TGCTATCACCTCTACCCTTGCAAATCAACATATAAAAAGACAGCACCTTTGTACTCTCAGAGCCACATTATGATCTGGCATTATGTTCTGTCTGATTATGCCAACATGCTATTTTGCAGGAATGACTGTTGCTGGCATCGGCTTTGGTACTTGAGCAAGTTGTGAATCCCTGAGGCCTCCTTGTGACATTATACTGAGGCGTTAATGTTGAACCCTGCGTGCAAGTTAGTACCAGAGTGACAGAGTGGCCTAATGTGACCTGTGGCCTAAGCTCTGAGAGTCTGGGGGAAGTTAATGTTTATTGCTCCGACTGCAGAGGAAATGCGATTCAGCCAGTTATAGACACCCCGGGAGGAGATACTGTAGCCAGAGACAATACTCTTGTGGATCTTTGTGAATTATGATACCATGGTAGACTCTGAAAATGATTTAAGAGAAATCGAACGAATGTTGCAAATGAGTGTTTTCTCACCCAACGAATAGGCAAGGGACAGCCTGCCTGGAAAAAATAATACTGCGCCTGAAAAATATTCAGTCTGCTGTGGATTCATGTGAAATCTATGTGCCAACAATTCAACTAAATCCTGTTTCAGAGACAATTGCTCCCAGGCAAGGAGAGAAAACACTGGAGACACAAATGTACATAAATTTCTGTATGACAGGCCAAGACATATCTAATCACTTCATGGTGTGTTCAGTGGAATGCTGGAGCACAAGGGGTACAGCGATATTTCCAGGAACTATGCCCACAAAGTCAGTGATACAAATCGAAAGAAGGAGGCATAAAAGATAGAGGGAAGAAGGGTCAAATCCTGGGAATGGAGTGGATGAAGTTATATGCCAGGCCGCTCCCTTGCTCCTAGCGAGACACATGAAAGGAAGGATGAGGCAGCGGACTGGCAGGAAACCAAGAAGTTTTAATAACCGGTAGCTCTCACACCTATAGGCAAAGAGACGCCGGAGTGTGGAAAGGAGATGAAGGCTTCATGCCCAGGCATCAATGAGCTTGTGCCAGAAAAACGCCCACCTCTGTCATTCCAACTGAGTGCACCCCCCTCCACTCCACATTCCTACCCCCCGCTGTCCTAGACATAATTTCTTTCTTTTTCATACACACACACACACACACACACACACACACACACACGCAAGGGGCCTACACACACACACTCTTATCTTGCTTTTGCACGCATCCCTTTCATCGTTCTTTGTCCATGTACTTCTTCTTCAAACACACAGTCACATGCATGCACACACAAAGTTACAGGCAGAGGACACCCATGACACACACACTCACACACACTGAAAATCTATTAATTTTCCATTTAACCTTGGCCTACTTCTCACTCTCCCTTACACACACACACACACACACACACACACAGTGATCTGCTGGCAGGTTGGAGCCAGTGGAAACATTCAGCTCCTTTACTTACATAAAGTTCCAGTAAGATGGAGCACTCATAGCGGAGCTGCTCAGCTATAGCAGTGGCCCGGGCCACGGCAGTCCTGCTCAGATCCGAGCCGGTCATCCCTCTAGTCCGCCTGGCTGCCATTGGACCTCCAGCTGCTTCTACCGGGAACACTGAGTAAACGCGCACTTGTAGCAGGAGAGCGACAGGCCCCCTAATATACGCCCGTGTGCGCCTGCCTCATCCCGATAACACCGGATTGCCGGTCATGGTTCACTTCACTGCCCTTCCGTTCACCGGTCAGTGCAGCCTTAATTAGAGCCAGAGCCGCTTCGCTTCTCTTAGGTTTCGGTAAAACGAGTTCCCCAGTTTGTCTGCTCACTGTTCGGTACTTATGTTACTGAGTTGATGGCCAACTCTCCGCCCTTTCCCCCGGGAACCTGATGCCAGGCAGGAGGAATTTAACGGGACGAGCGGGGGCGGAGGGCCGCGGAGGGGAGGAAGGAGGAGCTCATCAACTTATTCATGAGGAGCTTATCTGATTTACTGGTAGTGACAAAAGCAAAGATGGTCTAAATTTAAGAAGGATGTTGTCTGGACTGTTTCAATGTGTCCTCTTGGCAGACAAAGATCACAGCAACAGCGCAAGTCTTTTACAGCTAATAACAGTACCGGAAATATCAGAATATAGGCCCACTCAAGTACTGGGCTGTCACAATTCTGAGGTATTTACACTGTACTTGAGTAGGACTTTATTTCTTATTGATAAGAGTTTACAAAATATAATTGTTATAGATAGATTTACCAGAAGTATATGAAGTGATTAAAATGAACTAACATTTAGAGCAACTAGGACTACTAGCCTGCTGCTTATGCCTGCATGCTGCATCAAGGCAAGTTTATTTGTGTAGCACACTTCAGCAACAAGGCAATTCAAGGTGATCTACATAAAAGATCAAAGCATCAAGAGAAGTTGCAAAAAAAAAAAAAACACACATCATTAAAGGACATTTAAAACAATCCATTAAAGAACTAGACAGTAGAAAACAAAAAGTGAAAACATACTAAGACAAGTATACAATACAAGAAGGAAAGTTACAGGTATAAGGTAGGGATGCAAGATATTGGATTTTTTGCCGATATCTGATAACCGATAACTGATAGCGATATTGATATAACCACTTTTTCCCCACATAGGTTTAGTGATCATCAGGTCTCTTCTGTAGTGGAATTAACATCATATTATGCATGCATACTCTTATCGTGATGGCCCACCAGCAGGTGGAGACATGAAATAGAATACTTTTTAATGTATGTTATATTCATCCATTGTGCAAAATGAGAAAAAGCATGTTGGCCGATTGTAATAATTCATTATAAAGCCACTATCGCTGGATACTGATGACATGCTGATATTAATCGGGCACCCCTAGTATAAAGTCAGGTATTAAATACAAGAATACAATGCACTATGTATATACACTGCTTCTCCATGTTTAGTTGTGACTCTATAGGGACACAAAGCAAACCTGTCCCAGATGACCTGAGAGGTCTGAATGGTTCAAAGTGTAGCAGGAGGTCAGAAACGTGTTTGGGCCCTAAACCATGTTGTGCTTTATGAACCAATAGGAGTATTTTAAAGTTGATACCCTGACAGACAGGAAGCCTGTGTAAAATCCTCAGAGCTGGAAAGATGTGATTCACTCTCTTGGTGTCAGTGAGGACTCGATCAGCAGCGTTCTGAATCAGCTGTAGCAGTCTGACTGAGTTTTTAGGGAGATTTGTAAAGACACTGTCAGAGTAGTCAAGTCTACTGACGATAAATGCATGGACGTTTTTCCAGATCCTGCTGAGACATTAGTCCTTTCATCCTTGAAATGTTCTTCAGGTATCAGTAGACTGACTTTGTAATTGTCTTGATGTAGCTGTTGAAATTCAGGTCTGTGTCCATGACTACACCAAGAATAATATTATAACCATTGATGGGAGAAGTATTTACATCTTTTACTCAAGTAAAAGTGGCAACACTGTGTTGTAAAAGTTCTGTTACAGGTAGAAGTACAATGTTAATTCCATACTTAAGTAAAAGTGCAAAAGTATATACTTGAAGTACATTTTTGTACGCTGCTGGGTACTGTCATTTAATAATAATACATTATAATTCATTAGTTTATTGAAGCGTTAATCATCTGAATCTGCAAAGTAATTAATAATTAAGATTATCAAATAGATTTAGAGAGGTAAAAGTACAATATTTGCCTTTAAAATAGAAGTATAAAGTAGTGTATATGGAAATACTCAAAGTACAAATACCTCAAGATTGTTTTCAAAGACAGTACTTGAGTAAAGGTGGTTACACTCCACTACTTATTATAACACTGACAGGGGCCGGTCTAAATGACTGCATTTGATACTGTAAGTTAGATTTTTAATGCAGGACTTTTACTTGTAATGGGCCTTTTTGTAGTGTGGTGCTATAAAACCATACTGTACCATACCATCATTAAAAAAAGAAAATAAAAAGAAACTGCAAATACCAATAAAGGACTATTAAGGTGATTTAACCTATGTGTTCTCCTCATCAACATAAATCTCACATTAATATCAGACCAATACAGCAAAGATTCGAGGCCTTTAATGTTAAAAAACTTCACATTAGGGACCCACTCATCTGCTGTTACTTGTCATAGCAGAAAAACAACAGGTGCAACCAGGGACATTACTGATGTGCCAGTTAGACTGCCAGGAAGCCATGTCAGTAAGCCAACATTCACAATGCTACAGCCCTGCCACAGGCACACATGACATGAAATGCAGCTGCTATAAATGTGTTATACATGTGTTTAACAATACAACATACCGGTCTGGATACGTGTTTGTCATTAAATAAACAAATTTTAAATTACAGAGCTTATGAATTCCACAAGTTGACAATACTGATTCAGAGCAGGGACAAATGCATGGAGTTAGTGAACTTATCTCTGAGGGATTTAAAACCTTTAAACAATGACACACATATAAATAAAGAATTATAATAATTTTAAATAATGTTTTCTTGATGTGGTGTCAGATAACAATTAATTACAATAAGGCCAGTTGATGGGTAAAAGGTCATAATAGTAACTGGTAAAAATGTGATTAACTTGACACACTTTAATTTAAATCTTAGTAGTTAATGTAACAGTCAAGTCTGGATATCTGAAAATATATGTTATTATAAACACTTGTGATCCTAATTTGAGGCTGTATATTTTAAAACTGACTAAGCCCATGCCAATATAATACCTTTTTTAACCGAATATGTTATATAATGAACATTATACAAAATATAAGGACTGCTCACCACTTTGTTTTCAAATATAAGAAAGTTAGCAGGAAGTTAAAAAAAAATCAAAAATATATTCCACAATGCATTACAAAAATACTACATGTATATAAATACTATATTTCATCCCTATAAATATACTGAATTTTCGTTCATTTAAGTTAACGGGTCGATGTTTGTGGTTTGTAGGCAGGTGATGATTTACAGGTGCAGTACCACGCCTGTGCTGCAGGTGTCAGTGCAGGCAACTATAGAGAGGAGTAAACACCGAGCAGCGGCTAAATGACAGCAGCTAACGTTAGACCTTAAACCTGCTGGATGTTAAAGGGGACATGGGAATGGTCAAAGATTTCCTCGCTGTGTTATTTTAATGAAGTCAGCTGTTTAGTGTGACATTTTAACTATCCAGCGACAGTATTAGCGCGTTTTAATTTTGAGACCAAGCTAACCAGCTAGTCAGCTTATCTCTGGTTGATATTATTATTTAGAGTCATGAACTCCCTGGTTGATTACGGAGTGTCCTCGGAGTCTGACAGCGATGGTGATGTAGACGATGTAAACAGCGGTGGAGCTGGGTAAGTGCTCACTTAACAAACATCTAGCACAAACACAGATTGTAGAATACTTGTAAATAATTTCGCGCTAGCTTGCATGAGCTAAAATGTCTTGGTCTTTCTCTCGCTTTTCCTTTCTTCAAGCTGTGTAAAGGAGGCGGGTGATGAGGCGTCAGCTGGCAAAAAGACCCGCAACTTCTTGCTGGAGTCTGGTTCAGCTTCCGGTGAATCAGACAGTGAGTCAGAACCAGGGGAAAAGGACCCAGAGCACCCTTCACCAACAACACATCCCCAGAAACCAGCATCCTCTGCTGCCTGCCAGTCCTCCCTACCTGCTCCTTCCCTGGGTTCCCACCCCTCCAATAAACTACCTCCTCCTTCTCTACATACCTGCTCTGACAGCAGTGTGTTTGCCAACCCTTTCAAAGCTCAGGCAGACCAGAAGCTCAGCGCCTTGCAGAAACACGTCCCCCTCACAATGCAGGCCAAACCCTCTCAGATAGGAGGTAAAAGGATGTGTGTGTCATACAGGAAAGATGGAAGGTGCAGGTTTGGGATCAAATGCAAGTTCGCTCATGACAGTGACCTCCAGACTGACACTCATCCACCTGTGGGTGAAGAAACACCAATGTCAGATGAAGCCGAGTCCCATGCAGGCGGCTCATGTGGTGGAGGATCTCAGCACCACCAGCAGGAGACAAGAGAGGAAGAGTCAGGAGGGCAGCTATTGAAGAAGAGGAAGGTTGGACTGAGTAACACCTTGATTCCTCCTAAACGAGCTATGAAGCAGTTTGCCATGCAGAGGGAGAGGGAGCAGATCAACATGTCCTGATGAATGATTTCTGGGCTGTGTGTTGTCACAAAGCAATAGTACTGGGGTGACATATGTTCTCTCGGTGTGTATATGTTGTAGAAACTGTGCACTATCCACTGTAGGACCAATTAATGACTCAGGCATAGTTACATCTGGAAGACATTTTGTCCAAAGCGACTGACATTTTTATTTACGTCAATCGCACATCGAGAGCAGTTTGTTCTTGCTTGAGGACATTTTGACATGTCAGGGCTTAACAATAAGGATTGCTCAGTAGCTCAGAGCAAGTAAAATACCATGTAGGGCTAGTATATCTAGTAACTTACTTGCCAAGTTGGACATGTGCTAGATAGAAAATAATTAGATGTATTTTTTTTGTTCTAGAATTGTTGGTGTAAGTAGCTTAGAAGTGAGCCATCTCACATCCTTTTAATCTGTTGAAAGCTGAACTTTTGCAATACTGAATGACAGTTAACTTAAGTCTTTGATGTTACTTGCTAACTGGTAATAAATTAAAATTGTATAATAGGTAAATATTGACTTTGGGCAAGTAGATTCTGATCCACTTGCCCAATTAAAAAACATCAACATTGAACTCTGCATGTAGACAGAAGGAGCTGTGGATTGATCCAGGAAACCATACTGTTAACAGCAGAACCCTCCAACAATTCACCTATAGCAGCCCCAGTTGAAGAGAGGAGAAATTAGTTTAATTCCTTGGGTTTGTGTTATTTATGTTCTCAGTCAGTGAATACACTTTAGAGAAATGTTAAGACGTTTATTTACATCTTATAAATGAACAGTTTTTGTGTTTGCTCTACCACACACCCAAAATCACAAACCAGAGGTGCAGATTTAGTACTGACATATGCTCCAAAGTTTCTACATAGCTCTGCTCATCAAATTACATCACACTTTACTGACATAATTGGAGTTTAATTATCTAATTCAGTGACTGTGCTTGCTGTTATTTTATGGGTTCATCTGTGATTTACAATATCCAAGATCAGCATTTGGCTGATTGAAGACTTCTGTGAGTAGTACATACATTAAATGGGTTATTATTCCTTCGATGTCTCCCAGCCAAGCTGAACAAACAGCTGTACAGCTGCCAGTGAAACAGTTTTAATGACACTGCCAAATAACTAAAATACACATACTTTGTGATTTTTTTACAAGACTGTAAAACATCTTTTTGTCTTCTGCTTTTCAGGGTTTGAAATGTTATTCTGTTACATAGTTTTCTGTTATCTTTTTTTAACCTTGCCAAATAAAGGCTTACAGTAGATCTGGACACTAAATGAAAAAATAGCTGCCTATTCATTTAAACGGAATTTACTCACCCCACACATACTGGGGTCTGTCTATAGCTTTCTGATGTGTGTTTTGTGTTAATAATATAAATAGAGTTGGTTTATTTCAGTAGGAGCCTTGATGCCACACACTAGGTGTGTGCTATATATTACTAAGAGGTATGCTATATTATTGCATCACAGCAACAGCTTTGCAACCTCAGCATCATTACACACACACTCACATAAAAGGCTACTTAAGTTTACAGGACTTATGTACAAAGGCAACAACTTACACATACAGACAGACACATATTTTTCCCTGATACAGATATTCTAAAAAGCTACCAAATATGACTATGAGTGAACAGTACATTATATATTGGTGATCCTACATTGACCTCAAACATTGCAATACAGTATGTCAATACAGTATGACAATGTGCCTCTATCTTCTGTTTTGTGTGCGCTGTCCTTGTTTTACATGAGAGTCTGCTGCACGTGTCTCTCAGTGCTGTCCGACAGAGCTTCCCCGTGTCCTGTCTGCTCCCAGACAACACCATCCTCCCCCATAGCTTCTGTCTGCACAAGGGAGCTGGCTGGCGGTGAGGAAGACGAGAGCACCGGATTGTCCAGAATAAAGCTGTCCCCATTAGTGGAGCCTGGGTCCTGGGGATGGGATGGGGACAGGAGAGGAGGGCTCAGGGCAGCTGTGTGCAGGGTCTGAAGCTGCTGAGAGGTGGCTAAAATGGGGATCTGCTGAATATGGGTCTGAGACTGGCTGACTGGCTGGAAGGTCATTTGAAGGATCTGTGTCTGCCCCTGGCTCTGCTGCTGGGAGGAGAACGACTGAAGAGGCTGCAGCTGGGGCTGATGCTGGGTCACCACTGAGCTGGAGTGAAGGGTCAGTTGTTGGATTTGGGGCTGCTGTGGCTGCTGAGCAGCCTGCACAAACTGGACGGGCATCTGGAGCTGGAGGTGAGTCTGCTGCTGGTTTTCAGCTGGTGAAGGGGGGTCGATGGGGGACAGGGCGATCGTCACTGGCACCTGCATGGTGTGGAGACTCTGGTCTTGTCCCAGTAAAACCACCTGGTGACTCACTTGTTGGGTCACATGACCCATCTGGGACACCTGAGCCACTTGCTGCCCAACTTGCCCTTCATGGCTCAGCTGGTCCACCTGCCCATCCTGCCCTATTTGGCTCACATCCAGGCCAGCGACCTCTGCTTGCATGGGGTTTCCTGGCAGCTCTAGCAGGGAGGCAGGGGTTGTGATGAGGGCGCCAGCGTTGGCTGCCAGAGCCTCAGCGATTAGCACCTCGGGGTGACTCTTAGCCTTATGGGCCACCACACAGTCCTTTTTCTCAAACTTCTTGCCACAAATGGAGCAGGCGAACTGGTAAGTAGCGTCAGCGTCGTGTTTCTTCATGTGCCAGTTGAGAGACGCCTTCTGACGACACGTGAAGCCACAGATTTCACACCTATGGGGAGAAAATGAGAGAAAATGCGTGTTCAAGTAAAGTTGTAGAATTTAAGAGAATAAAGAACAAAGAAAGCAAAAGAGCAGTAATAGTGAGCAGAGAAGTACTAACTGCAGGGGCTTCTCTCCTGTGTGAATCATGCGGTGCACAGCCAGATTGTGGGAGCTCTTGAAGGCACGAGCACAGAACTCACAAATGTAGTCCCTCTGGTCTAGAGTAACAGAACAACCAAATATAGATGTGCTTTTCATATCATTTCATTATCAATTATAACAAGAAATGGTCAGACGCAGATTGAACATAGTCCAGGTCTTCTGTATATACTGTAGGTGTACCTGTGTGGTGCTTTGCGTGACGCAGCAGCTGCTTCTGTAGTCGGAAAAGCCTTCCACAAGAAGGGTGAGGACAGACGTATTTCTTCTTGAGCAAGTGCTGGTACTTTATATGATGCTGGAGTGCAGAACAAAGAAAATAAAAACAGATCATCACTAACAGGAGGATGGAGTGGCTAGCAGACAGAAAACAGACCTAAAAAGAAAGTTTAGGTTTCCTGTGTTTACACGTTCTCGATGATGGCGTTAATGGCCGAATCATCAAAAAAATATCTGAACATATTGTGCATTATTCCTTCTGAATTGAACTTCTGAGATATTGAGATCAGAATTGATGCTAGGATGCACTCAACCCCCCCTCTTCATGTTCGCTGTGAACACAGCATTAGAGTGACAGATGTAAATAAACCTCAGTAGGACTGTGTGGTTGCTGAGACAGACCTGTAGGTAGCGAGGATGAGCCAGGACTGTCCCACACCCCTCCATTTCACATCGGACATACTGCACTGGGGGCTTCTTCCTGTGTGGGTGAAGCACATGTCATTGCAATGTCATGAAGCAGAAACATAATATTTAAAAAGTCCCCACGGACACAAATCAAAATTTGTTGCTCACAATGTCAAACATCAGTCACTAACATATGTTTTATTTCTGGATGAAATGATGACAGGGTGATTTATTAAATCATATTATAAAGTTCAGATTATAATGCTCCAAAACAGACATCAACCTCACCTTCTCTTTGGCAGCCGTGGGGTTTTGTCGTCTTTTTTCCGCCGGCCTCTCCTAACACAGAAGGAAAAACTTTAATAGGAGTAAAGGTACAACTGTAGCTCATTAGACCTACATATAATGTGAATCTGTTCTATTGATAACTTGATAAACATCAACTGGTACTGTGCTTACTTTCTAGGTCCATCTGGGTCCTCCACGATTTCTTCCTCAAGCTTTACTTCCTCTTCCACACCCTCCAAGTTGTCTGAACCTTCTATCTTTATCTCAGCAACCTCCTTCTCTTTTTTAGGTGCCTTCTCTTTCTCTTTCTTCTCCTTCTGTCTGGGCGGGGCTCTGCGCTTTGGTTTAGGGACATCCCTGTGAAAAAAAAGAGAAATGTTCAGTTGCTGAATAAAAACATATGGTGCCTCTGTCAAACTTTGTCAGACACAAACACACACCGTTCAGCCTTTGGGTCATAGCTCTGGTCGTTAAGGTCATCTGTAAAAGGAAGATCTTCGTCACTGCTGAGACCCTCTTCTTCCTCTGCTCCACTGAAAGCGAAACAACAAATCACTTGAGACAGAATTCCCCACTTTCTGTCTGCCAGGGTCAAGTGAATGAGATAAACGTACCTCCGACTCTGCGGCTGGTAGCTGAGGTCATTTGTGTCATCCCGAAATGGAGGGTCTTCATCATCCAGGACTGATTCAGCAACCTCCTCGCTTTCCTCCTCTTTCTTTTTACTGAGACATAAGGGGGAAACACAGCGGCCATCAGAGCACAGCACCACTCTCCCTTACCGTGCGTTCACACCAAACGCGATGGACGCAATGTCATCGCCCGTAACACGAGTATCGCGTCGCTTGATCACAAATGTCACCTTTCTGATCATCGATTCAATCGCGATGACGCAACCCTCCTCCCGCAATTTTCTTCACCTCCCGCTATTTTCTCGTCAACCATGGCTGAGTTAACTACCGTAGCTGCTCTTTATCTGTTGTGGACATCTGATTTGGATCGGAGACCCAAACGCCACCGTGTCTGGGTTCACAATATCCTCCAGAAACGCACACAGCTGGGTGAATATCATCACCTCCTGCAAGAGCTGTGTCTGGATGACGGTCGTTTCCAGCGGTAGTTCAGGCTGACGCTGGCCCAGTTTGAGGACCTGTTGGCCCATATCGGTGCGAGGATCTCCCGCCTGGACACCAACTACAGGTGCTCCATCCCAGCTGCGGAGCGCCTGTCCATCTGTCTCCAGTTAGTTGCTTATAATTTCTTTATGAATGGTTGGATATCAACGCTGATTGGATGTCGTGGCACAGCGTCACGCGATGTCGCTTAAAAAGTTCAAATTTTTCAACTTCAAGTGACACACGCGATGAGGCGATGGACGCGTCATCGCGTCACTCTTAGCGCCTGAAACGCGTCGCCCGAAGCGACATCGCGTGTCATCGTGTCATTTACATTGATTTTGAAAGGAAACTTGTGGCGTTCATCGCGTCCATCGCGTTTGGTGTGAACGCACAGTTGGTCACACACGTTTAGAATATACAAGACAGTATACTAGGTATGTCACAGGAACCATTACTTCAGTACCAAGTTGATGCCAAAATTCTGAAAATGTAACGGCACTTGATTTTCTCCAGTGCTGTAGGTACCGGGGATGCAATTCTTACAGACCTGACGGGGCAGCACATATGCCCACAAGTGTTCTAGTCTGCAGTTAAATCCCAAAGGAAGAAGATAAACGCCTATCAGTGGGGAACAACAACAACAACAACACATGGAAGATGGCAATAAATGCAGCTGCAGCAACAGCCCCACCTTGAATCCTCGAAAAGCAATAGGAGCGCACTACGCTACAGATTATCTGAGCACTATCTACTGAGTACTGCACGTCTGTGGTTTTTTTTCTGGTTTTTGAGATTTGGAAAATGTTCAGCTTTGGGTAAAATGCTGCGCTCGCCACTGCCACTTTTCGCCCAGGCGTCCAATCACAGTGGAGGAGGGGCGATGACAAATAGCCTACCACAAAGACCAACCATCACATCTTACATGTACTAGTGCTGAGCAACAATGGAGAAAAAATATGTTAAAATACTGTATATACATTAATATAAATTTACTCGCCCACAAAATCTCATAACCCCACATAGATTTGGACTTTGTGTTTGAGGCAGATTTAAGTTACACAACTACATATATTTAAATTATATTTAATTTCAATGTTTTTAACTAATGAATGTACGCAATTTGTTGTTTTGTTTCAATTTTCAACTATGGTATTGAGTCTAATTGTGTAATTTCACTGATAGTGGTATCAACTACTACATCCCTGGTATTGTGACTCTACAGTACAATTTAAAAGCCATGGGCTCAGTGGGTCATAAATATGTGGAATATGTATTTTTTAAGCTTTGATAAAGTGACTCTTTAATTTATTCTTTAACCATATAACATTTTGTAAAAGAATATAATTGCAGCA